ACTCCAGTTTGGACTTCTTGCCGTAATCCACGGACAAGCGTTCCATCAACAAGGAGGTGAAACCTGAGCCCGTGCCTCCTCCAAAACTGTGGAAAATCAGGAATCCTTGTAAACCTGAGCAGGAATCGGTCTACAAAGAATTACAATCCAAGGTGAGCTATGTGTATCTCAACCATTCTTTGTAGCCCACTCATTATTTGCTACATGCAAAGACCATTTCTACAATTCCAATGTTTGGCAACGGAGTCATATTTATGATGGTTACAGTGTCCCCGGGGGTCATGTGATCACCTTTTGTGACCTTCTGACAAGCAGAATCAACGCGGCAGCCAGATTCGCTTAACAACCATGTTACAATGTTGAGCTGTGGTGGTGCAGTGATTAGAATGCAGTACTGCAGGCTACTTCTGCTGACTGCCAGCTGCCTGCAATTTAGCAGATTGAATCTCACCAGACTCAAGGCTGACTTAGCATTCCATCTTTCTGAGGTTGGTAAAATGAGGAGCCGGATTGTTGGGGACAATAGGCTGACTCTATAAACCACTTAGAGAGGGCTGTGAAGCGGCATATAAGTCTAGGTGTTATTGTTATTGCTACTAACTTAACACCTGCAGTGATTCACTTAACAAATGTGGCAAGAAAGGTCGTAAAATGGGGCAAATAACAAATGTCTCACTTAGCAACAGACATTTTGAGCACAGTTGTGCTGGTAAGATGAGGACTACCTGTATTGTGACTGCCTTATAATAGAAGAAGAATATAAAATAACAAGATAACAATTCCTCCTTCTCTACAATATGAGGAATATATAGTTGGCATAAAAAATATTTGTCAAACAAGATAGCCTAGCAAGATTTTCCTAGAATTGAAAGTATGAGATCCACAAGTTTTATAGATATTTAGATTTAACTTAAACAGATTATTATTTCCCAGCTCATTCTGCATCAGTGGTGGGTTCCGGATTCCGTTCCAACCGCTATGGTTGGAACGGCCCCAGAGTTACCCACATGCACGTGCGCGGTGCGCGCATGTGTTGTAGCATCAAATGACGATTACGCAAGCCTCCTTGATGCTCCAGCTGCTCTGCGGAGCATCACGCAGGCACCGTACATGCCATGCGCGTGTGTGGAAGCGCCAACAGCATAAAGCACCGGTAAGGAGCATGGGCAGGCGGGTGGGCCCTCCGGAGCACCATACCGCAACGGTATTCGGTGCTCCAGGCAGGATCCAGTACGCCCGTACCGGGGTGTACCGCATGCAACCCACCACTTTTCTGCATATTAATACAGTTCATGACATATCCAACTGGCATGACTGGAACTGGACTTCCTATCATTAGATTTCTGCCTCTAGCCCTAAAACCATGTCACTTTTAATTGTCATGCATGTGCTTACCAGCTTGCGAATACGATCCAGCACCATATCAATGCTCTCCTTTCCAATGGTATAGTGGCCACGGGCATAGTTATTAGCGGCATCCTCTTTGCCAGTGATCAGCTGCTCTGGGTGGAAAAGTTGGCGGTAGGCGCCAGCCCGTACTTCATCTGTTAAGAAATGGAAATATATTGTGACAAATATAAGAGATTTTTTGATAATCGTGATACGTTCCTTCCTAATTGACTTCTGACACCATCTTTGTTTGCTAAATGACAGAAGCTTTTGTGTGTAATTTTGGCTTTAACATCATTTGAAATGATTCCCGGCACGGATTATTAACATCAAATATGATCTTGCTTAATTCTTAGTATTCTGACCCAGGCTTCCTTAAAAAGCAAGAAGCAGAGTTTTGGTCCCCTTTTATTTATATGACTGTGAATTCCTTTCATTTACTGTCAGCAAGGCTTAGCAAACAGTCTTTCAGAGGAATATTTATCTATACGAACCTTATCTCGTTTGGAGAACTGCCAGATAACTAGTTTCCAAATGCAGGGCAAGGCAAAACTGGGCACAGAGTCTCTTATAGTCATAAACAGAACTTACCATTCTTGAAACGACTGAATGAACGGATTGTTTCCTGCAAAAGCCCACTCCCCTCTTTTGTTTCCTATGGGAGGGGCCAATCACCTCTTACGTGTGGCTTATCTCCTAAGTTGACCCTGCTTTCTTAGTTGCTCTTGTCTTCTGGCAGCTCTGCGCATGCGCACACTGCTGTCTAGCTCCCTCTCTGCTTTCCGTAGCCCCCAGTACTGGCCCATGTTCCTCCCCAACCTCCTCACTATCTGACCCTGCTGCCAACTCCGCAAGCCGCCAGCAGGCCACAACACTTAGAAACCAAGTAGGAACTATGTAGCAATGCTCGATTTGATCCTTGGTGAGCTAGGTTGCGCAACTGAGGATAGAATTATTAATACAGGTATTCCTCAACCACAATTGAGCCCAATACCTACGTGGCTAAGTGAAACATTTGTTAAGTGGGTTTTGCCCCATTTTATTACTTTTGTTGCCACAGTGAATCATTGCAATTGTTACGTTAGTAACATGGTTGTTAAGTGAGTCCAGCTTCCCCATTGAGTTTGCTGGTCAGAAGGTTGCAAAAGATAATCACATGATCCTGGGACAATGCCGAGGTGGCGCAGTGGTTAGGGTGCAGTACTGCAGGACACTTCAGCTGACTGTTATCTGCAGTTCAGCAGTTCTAATCTCACCGGCTCAAGGTTGACTCAGCCTTCCATCCTTCCGAGGTGGGTGAAATGAGGACCCAGACTGTGGGGGCGATATGCTGACTCTGTAAACTGCTTAGAGAGGGCTGAAAGCCCTATGAAGCAGTACATAAGTCAAACTGCTATTGCTATTGATAGATAGATAGATAGATAGATAGATAGATAGATAGATAGATAGATAGATAGATAGATAGATAGATAGATAGATAGAT